AAGTTTCTGTGGGATAATCGGAGAAAGAAGAGGAGTAAGAATGAAAATGAAACGAAGGTAGAGGTTGTGGGACCTAATACTAATGCTACGTAGCATGAAAGTGAAATCTCATTTTACGACATGATATACACTTACCAAGTTATCATAATTATTAAGGAAAAATGTTGATCAACAGCTCAAAATTGATCAATAATCAAGGCTCATTTGCCGGGGTTAGCCAGATGCAATCAATAAATTGATTGCTCAAGTCATCCCAAATTCCCAATGCACCACATCCTGTGCTCACTTACCATTTCCATCACTATAAAAAACAATTATCCAACTTACATAAAATATGGTAATAAAGAATCAATAGAAAAGAAAGAATCATAATTGATCGATATATTTCTCGCAACAAACGAAAAGAAAACGAAAGTCAAAACATAAATCGTGGATCAACTAAGCCCTTTCGGATACTATATTTCTGTCTAATAATACATTTACATGTGAAGCAAAACTTGCATATAATAATACATAATTAGACCTGAACACTATAGGACAACGAACCAATTTCACGGATGAGACAACTTTTATCTTTCTGCACTATGCTCTGAACTTCACGTTTTGTAATAAGGGTTACCACTCAATCATGTTGTGCACTCTGGTTTATTTATTTAAAGTTTAAATTTATCCTCACTTTTACACATCAACCTTACTTTATGGCTTCGTCACCCTCCGGGTGACGGCCAACACATCACGATTCGGATGGACACGTAGCAAACTGACACATCCCAACTCGGAATGTTCATGTGTCCATCCGAATCGTGATGTGTTGGCTGACACCCAGAGGGTGACGAAGCAATAAAATAAGGTTGATGTGTAAAAATGAGGATAAATTTAAACTTTAAATAAATAAGCCAGAGTGCACAACTTGATTGGGTGGTAACTTTTATTACAAAACGTGAAGTTCAGAGCATAGTGCAGAAAGATAAAAGTTGTCTCATCCTTAAGGGATGATTATTTAGTACATAAGCAAACTACTTTGACTAAAGGACAGTCAGCTACTTCCACTGAAACCTTATACTCCCACGAGCTTAATCTTTACATCCTGGAGAGGCGAAAAACAAAGGTGAGTGGGCCTAGAAAATAAACTTTTCTAAAACCTTTTTGAAAACGTGTAACCCATCCTGTAAAACAAGTATATGATTTACCAAAGTAATAATATAATAATTGGTTGTAGGGAACCTGCAACACAAATGAGTTAAAGGATATATGATGCTACTATGAAGTATCTCATCATCAAAATTCAAATAGCTGTCATAAAATCACAGTTATGAAAATCATTAAAAATTCACTGCTATGAAAATCATTGCTTATTATCTATGTAGACACACAAGTCATACAGAAAGTAGCTGCATGAACATGTTGGGTGTAGGTTTTACGTTCTAGTACTACATCACGTGAAGCTGGCACTACGCGCATCACATACGAGTCCAAATAACAAACCTAGGGACAGTCTGACACCTAACTCTGGATCCAAAGCGAACGTAAACTGTGCTTGTGAACATACACGTGAAGTTAGTCATTGGTCCAGGATAGTACAACTAACTAATAAACATTATGCACACATGTAACAATGAGCAGATGTCATGTAACATCTTGCACACAGTACAACTAACTAATATTTTGGCCTTAAAATGTTTGAACGAGATTTGCATCAAAAATAAAATTCAAGATAAATCGCAATACAAGACAAAATGAGCCACATCTTCAATTTGTTGAATTCTTATGCCAAACCAAGATTGTGGGTAGTCCAAAACTTCCTGAATTTGAACATGGTGGATTGAGCCCCCACAGTCACAGGTAATGTCTTTGCTTTTTCTTCCTAATTTAATAATTAACTTTTGAATTTTGGATGTCAATCATAATTGTTGTTTTGTTTTCGAGGTTAGGAAGGGAAGCTATGTGTGGCTTGAATTAAGTGCATGTGGGGCGAAGCGGACATGAAACGTGCTTCAGATTTTGGTCTAGTTTGTGTGACTATGGGTTTACCTCTATATGCCTTCCCTAGTCAAGGTCTTCCCTTTCAATCTCTCAAACATTTTTAGTGCATTGAAAATGTTCAAAAGAGTGAAAGAGAGATGTCGACCAAGAAAGTTATATAGGGGTTGAAAACCATGATTACACAAATCGGCCCAAAATCTAAACACTGTTTTATTTTTTGTCTCCCCACAACCAAGGACCTCAACATATTGTGGATCTTGCTTGACCTGAATAAACAAGATTAAGCTTACATAGGGTACCCATAAATCTGCAAGATGCCAAACCAAACTCATACTCTTGCCTTTAGGCCAAATAACCATTTGGACCACCAATCGCATAAATTCCCATTTTTCTCTCTCTCATCCTCTTCACCCTCCTACTCCTGCTCATCATTCTCATTCTCATCATCATCCTCATCTTCCTCCTTATCATCATCATCATCCTCCTCCTCATCATCCTCATCACTTTCCCAATCATCATCCTCTTCTTCCACCTCCTCATCATCCTCCTTATCACTTATGTTCATTTAACATTAAAAAGGGAAATGCATCCTAAATTGTTAATTAAAGCTATGGCAAAGCACAAAGCTTAAAGCTATGACAGATATACACAAAATTATATCTTATGCCCTTAAACTTAATAGTTAGTGCCAAATCCCTTTCTTTTTTTCTCGTGCTTCTTCTTTCAACTTATGTAACTCCTCAAGTGCTTTCTTCTTTTCTTCACTATCATCTCTCTGATTTTCCCATACTTCATCAAAGTCTTCCTAAAAATTTCACACATTAAAAATTGGCAAGGGAAGTTATTTACATACATGTTGCACGAAACTACTTTTAACACAAAAGACTTGCAAGCTAGACCAAACCAAAGAGCCAAATTAATACGCTAATTTCGTCTAATAGGAAAAAGGATGTATCCGATATACATGGATACTGAGTAGTCCCTAAGCTCACAACAGTACCCAAGTTACACTAATACCACACTAGGCTCCTCAACAAAACAACAGAAAATACAATAATGGTGATGTTTCACCAACACTAACTTTCAATGTCAATGAAAGGTCGGGCCACTTAATGATTTAATAAAGAGACACAAGTTTTCAAAATACTAGGACTAAAGAAGATGGTTATGAATCAAACCTGAACCATGGTAGCGTTGATACTCACTTCAGAATTTACTTTTACAAGAAATACTAACCCTCCAAATCATCTGGCCCTTAGAGTCCAGCAACATAATTGTGGCAGAAAATTCCTTCTTTAGTATTTGCTCACTCAAATACTTGTCCGCTCCCATCAAACTAGGGACCATAATATAGGCCAAGCTACATAATTAAACAAGTCTAGTTTGATCCCCGACGTTCTTGACATAAAATGTACCACGGTCCAAAACTTCTGTGATCACTATCTGAATAATAAAGAACATGACATATATCATCCGGCATTTTACAACATTAGAAGGGTATTAATTCATGCAATTAGTTAATGCAAATGACCTTTAGCTCTTTTTTTGGTTTGGTGTTGCCGACTGGTCGTTCAACATGAGTCTTCCAAACCTACAATGGCAAAATGCCATATTATTAGAAAAATTGATTCAAAGGGAAGACATGTTTAAATAGTGTAGGTATGCATACAACTTCACATACATTCAACTTTTTGTTTTTGCAGTTTCTTGACGTTGTACAAGGTCGTTGTAAGTTGCAACCCTAGTAAAAACATAGATATTTCGAAAATTTGCAAGGCCATTTTCAAGGAGGACAACCTCCATATTTTTATTTGACTCCCATAAAGATCCTGCAAAACCTCCAACTTTGTCATGACTTTCCAATTCAATATGTATTAAAGACACAAATTTTATATATCAAAGCAAGAACAAATCCAAGTGAAAACTTATGGATGTCTGCTAATTAAATATATGGGATTTAACCTTAACATCTTTCTGCATGATGTTCTGCTTCATTAGTAGAAGTGCTTCATCTCCATAGGGTGCACCAAGTGGCGGACATGTGACACAAGAAAGTGAGAAGGGAATTCTCCATGTCTTTGTGGTTTGAACCAACAGTTCAAAATAATCACCTCTTTTGACCGTTTCGACAACAGCATCAACTATGCATCCTTCAAATGATGAAGACCAAGGACCTCAACATATTGTGGATCTTGCTTGACCTGCACAAACAAGATTAAGCTTACATAGGATACCCATAAACCTGCAAGATGCCAAACCAAACTGAAACTCTTTGCCTCTAGGCCAGATAACCATTTAGACTACCAATCACATAAATCCCCATGTTTCCTCGATCTTTCTCATCCTCTTCACCCTCCTCTTGCTCCTTCTCATCATTCTCATTCTCCTCATCATCCTCATCACTTTCCCCATCATCATCCTCCTCCTCCTCCACCTCCTCATCATCCTCCTCATCACTTATGTTCATTTAACATTAAAAAGGGAAATGCATCCTAAATTGTTAATTAACTAATATATTTAGACTAATATTTATTTAACTAAGCTTATCCTTCTCATCATCCGCATCATCCTCATCCTCATCATCATCATTATCCTCCTCCTCATCATCCTCATCACTTTCCCCATCGTCGTCGTCCTCCTCCACCCCCTCATCATCCTCCTCATCACTTATGTTCATTTAGCATTAAAAAGGGAAATGCATCCTAAATTGTTAGTTAACTAATATATTTAGTTTAATATTTAATTAACTAAGCTAATCCTCCTCATCATCCTCCTCATTTTCCTCCACCTCATCATCATCCTCATCATCTCCTCATCCTCCACCTCCTCCTCATCATCCTCCTTATCATCCTCATCTGTGCCTTCTCCCCCATAAGCCCATCATAAGATACAAACATTTAATATAAAAAAAAAAGCAGAAAATTAGTAAGCAATACCTTTGCCCAGCCTTCAGCAATACCTCATCCTGTTAAGGGTGGGAAGCAACCATTTTGGAGTGAGGTGGTGTGATAATATACCAATTCACTGATTTGATCTTGACCTTTGTAGCTATGGTGAATGAGAGAATGGAGAATAAGAAGAAGAAACAACTTCACTTTGTACTTTAGCGACAAAGAAGGAAGGAGAGAGTGAGGCAAGACAAGTTCGGAATTTGTACATAATTTGTACTATAGAACCCTAACCCTTGAGTTAAGAATGTTGTTGTCTGTTTGAAACATGATTCTAAAAGACGCTAGGCGCTAGTTGAGTGGCAAGATGGGGTGTAGCGCCTAGGCGGACTAGGTGGATTTGAGTAAATTTACAATAAATCTTTAATACTTTGGTTAATTTGATGGAATGAGATAGAAGTTCAAATGATACAAATCTTAGTATTTTAGGATATATTTTTCCAAGTTCATATGAATTTATAGTGCATTTATAGAGAAATAAAGGTGCCAACTATATGGTGTAGAAATCATTTAATCTTTGAAAACAAAGTATTTTGACCAAAAAAATAAAATATTTATCAGCAATTTAAAACAATTAAAAAAAAAAAAAAAGGAAATGAGGGAAGTTGAGATGCAAAGAATGGTGGGATGTGGGGCATGTTCATGCTAGCTGTCCCCTTCTTTATACATATCAGTCAAATAGGATTGCTAGGTGTCTAATTTAAATTGGACGGCAGTTCAAAATATATTAAATATGGAACATTGAGACCTGATAGTGGTCACGTGGAGTGAGAATCGAAGAGTCTTCTTCCTCTCGTCTTCTTTGCTGGAGTTCATAACCCAGATAGTTGTGCATTTCTCCTTCCTCACTTAAAAAACAACAGAAAAAGGAATCAAAACGGTCAAACCGCCTAGGCCGCCCAAACGCCACCCAGACTGCCTCGGCGCCCGCCTAATCCTTAACCCGATTTTCTTCCCGACTAGAGGTTAATCCCAGCGGCTGACCATCGCCTAACGCCAAGGTCGATTTTCAGAACACTGGTTTAAAACAACAAGCTTGTTTCTTAACATAGCAAAAGGTAATTTTGTTTTTTGTTTTTTGTTTTTTTGTTTGTTTGCTTTTGTTTTCGTTTTTGTTTGGTAAACGACAAGCCATTTCTTAACGTAACACCAAAATAATGACAATGTGCAAATGACTTATGTTCATTTAACATTAAAAAGGCAAATGCATCCTAAATTGTTAATTAACTAATTAATATATTTAGTCAAATATTTAATTAATTAAGAGGTGATGTTTGTATTTGGGACATATTTCGATATTTAAAAGAGAAGCTCTACTAGATCAAGGTTTAGTTGGTTATCAAATCTTAATGTTGGTATTTGCTAAAGTTCTCAACTTCGAACCCTCATTGCCCACCTAGACATGAGTATATGGCCCCTCGTGACGCCTTGAGTACAAAGAGTGATGAATGCTCTTAATCAAAGACTAAATTTGATCAAATACGGAAAACATGTTTTTGATAAGTATATATCAAAGACTAAATTAGATCAAGGTTACGTCCATATATGTTGCATTGCTGTATTATTGATAAGTATACAGAAAACAAGAATATTTGAAGAAAAGAAAAAATTGTACAAGCGTGTGTTATCGTTCACTTACTAAATATGGTTTAAGTACCAAGTTTTAAATTTGCTCATACTGTCAAAACTTACCAATTGTGGATCAACTATATGATCTACTTAACATCAGTAACCTCAATACTTTGCTCACAATCGAAACATCTTGTTTTAGACTAGTTGTTACTACTCCCAATTAAAATCAGAAGTTGTATATACGGGAGGGAGCTGCTGGGAGCTTTTATAAACTTAAAGTTTGTCACAATCTTGTTATTAGTGACTGATTCTAACTTGCTGCAACTTAAATGACGTTCATAGTCACGTTAAACAAGTAATTAGAACATTACTAGGCTCCAGTGTTGTTAGAAAATGTTTTTTAGAGAACAAATAAAGTTTCATTAAAAAGATTTTGTTTCATTGGGGGGCATGGGCGAGGGAGACGAGGAACAGGGTTACATCTCTTCAATGGAAGTTCAGTTGAAAGCTATGAAACAATTATGCGGTAGTTTAAAACTGCAATTGGAATGACGTAGAAAAGTTGCTTGAAATTGTAGTATTTTCGTTGTTGTAATTTGGTCCTTAGCAGCTAGCACAATAGCTTATTAATTTCTTTAAACTTCAAATTCAGTTCTTTGTTTTACTTTTTGCACTGTTTAGTCATGGCTAATCAGTTACTTCACAGGTGGGTGCATTGCTGTATGTTCAGGTTGTGGAGACAAACCCTGGCATGAATCCTGACTTGTCATGCACTAATGGTTGGTTTTCTATCTTATTGGTTTTCATTTTGGGACACACTTCTGTTTTACCTGTGTGTTAGTTCTTGTAAATCTTGATTCGTTGAATTTCTGTGATGATTTCTTGACTGTGATCGAAATTGTTGTGTGATTTCTAGCCAGCGGAAAAGCAGCAGAGTATGGCGTCCTTAAAGAGGGCTACAATTTTGGCCTTTCAAGAATGTGAGATGCAGTTCCCTTTCTGTGATATATAAGAAGTGCTTAGAGGATAGTTACTGCTCTTGTCTAAAGCACATAGTCAATGCGTAAAACTGGTCTTTTTTTTCTTCTTCTATGTTATAATTAACCAGTCATCTAGTTTTCAGGTTGCTGAGTTCGCCAAGATGTCTAGTTTTTGAGGAACTTGGGAAGAAGATTTCCTTTGAAATAGCAGTTGGTTTGAATGGTCATGTTGGGTATACTTCATCGAGTAATGCTAGGGAGACTAAATTTAGAGACTAAAATTACAAACTAAATGATGTGTCACCAATAGAAATGAGCATGTCTATCAATGCTTAAGTAATAAACCAATCATCAACTTACATGTCATTTAGTTTTCAAAATTTAGTCTCCAAATTTAGCCTCGATAACATTACTTACAAATTAAGTATCCGTAGCATTACCCTACTTCATAACTGCCCCCTTATGTAAAACTCTTTTCTAATTAGAGTTGTCCTTGCATTTTATTGGGTCTTGGACACTTGGCCAAACTTAATTCTCAGTTGGGACATTTTCATTGTTGCAGACTTGTTCTCCAAAACTCCCCTTCTATTTGAAAACACGACTCTTTCATTCTTTTTAAAATTTAGGTCAATGCTGCTTCATCGTCTTTCATCAATCATCATCGTCGTTTCTAATGCAATTATGAACTCGGAATCTCCGATTGGAGTGAAGCAGAGAATTATGGTGGATAAACTTATTCAGAATTTGAAGTTATCAAGTTAATTAGTCCATTACCTTTTGATTCAAACCCCAATTATTTTCCCTCGACTCTTTCGTGATACGAAACTCACTCTCTTTAATGCTTTTTGTGTAGCATCACAATGCAAGATCTGGCTAAAACGATCTCGAGCATGAGCCTTCCGAATCCTGTAGAGATTTCTATGCAACTGTCTTTAACGTAAGCGGGGGAATTCGTCGTGTTAATCGATAATTTGCCTATTGATTCTGCACCGTTTCCAAGTGAAATTCGACTTGTGCCAACATATTCAAATGTTACTGATGATTACAAGGTTACCGTGATGGTCTTGGTCTTTTTGCCCTGTGATCAACGTGACAACACACTTTCGACGAAGTACAGCAGACCATAATATATATGTTGCCAAATTTCTCGGTCTCGTTAAAGTTAGAATTCATCTGTCCCACATCGGCCAAAAGACTTGAGAATAAGCCTTTTAAATAGAATTATCTTACTCTAACTAACCCCGATGCCTTTTGTATTAAAAACTCACACCTGACAGTATCGATGTTGTTGGAGTGGGCCCATGACCCGTCTACCTAAAATTTAAGATGCTATCAGAGCCAAGGGACGGGCCCATACTGCCACGTGAATGGGTGGGTCCTTTTGACCCCGCACGAATGGGTGAGCCCCGACTTGGCTCCACATAGGCCAAGAGATGCCACGTGAATAGATAGGTCCCTATTAGCCCTGCACGAACAGGTGAGCCCCAGCTTGGCTCCACGTGGTTGCCAATGTGTGGAACTTCACATGTGACCCATAAAATGAGGTCTCGTGTGCAGGGGAGTGTTAGAATTCCTCTATTCCACATTGGGCAGAAGGCTTGAGAACAAGCCCTTTAAATAGAATTACATCACTCTAACTAACACCGAGATATTTTGTATTAAAACCCCACACCTGACGGATTGAGCAGGTGGCCAAATGGGGACAGTATCAATGTTGTTGGAGTGGGCTCATGGTCAGTCTACCTGAAATTTAAGATGGTATCAAAGTCAGGGTACGAACTCGTACTGCCACGTGAACGGGTGGGTCCCCTTTGACCCCATGCGAATGGGTGAGCCCCGACTTGGCTCCACGTAGGCCAAGAGATGCCACGTGAATGGGTGAGTCCCCATTGGCCCCGCGCGAATGAGTGAGCCCCGACTTGGCTCCACGTGGTTGCCGATGTGTGGAACTTCACGTGTGACCTATAAAATGGGATCTCACGTGCGAGAGAGTGCTAGAATTCCTCTATCCCACATCGGCCAAAAGACTTGAGAATAAGCCTTTTAAATAGAATTATCTTACTCTAACTAACCCCGATGCCTTTTGTATTAAAAACTCACACCTGACAGTATCGATGTTGTTGGAGTGGGCCCATGACCCGTCTACCTAAAATTTAAGATGCTATCAGAGCCAAGGGACGGGCCCATACTGCCACGTGAATGGGTGGGTCCTTTTGACCCCGCACGAATGGGTGAGCCCCGACTTGGCTCCACATAGGCCAAGAGATGCCACGTGAATAGATAGGTCCCTATTAGCCCTGCACGAACAGGTGAGCCCCAGCTTGGCTCCACGTGGTTGCCAATGTGTGGAACTTCACATGTGACCCATAAAATGAGGTCTCGTGTGCAGGGGAGTGTTAGAATTCCTCTATTCCACATTGGGCAGAAGGCTTGAGAACAAGCCCTTTAAATAGAATTACATCACTCTAACTAACACCGAGATATTTTGTATTAAAACCCCACACCTGACGGATTGAGCAGGTGGCCAAATGGGGACAGTATCAATGTTGTTGGAGTGGGCTCATGGTCAGTCTACCTGAAATTTAAGATGGTATCAAAGTCAGGGTACGAACTCGTACTGCCACGTGAACGGGTGGGTCCCCTTTGACCCCATGCGAATGGGTGAGCCCCGACTTGGCTCCACGTAGGCCAAGAGATGCCACGTGAATGGGTGAGTCCCCATTGGCCCCGCGCGAATGAGTGAGCCCCGACTTGGCTCCACGTGGTTGCCGATGTGTGGAACTTCACGTGTGACCTATAAAATGGGATCTCACGTGCGAGAGAGTGCTAGAATTCCTCTATCCCACATCGGCTAGAAGGCTTGAGAACAAACCTTTTAAATAGAATTACCCCACTCTAAATAACCCCGAAAACTTTTTTTATTGAAACCCCACACCTGACGGATTGAGCAGATGGCCAAGTGGGGATAGTATCAATGTTGTTGAAGTGGGCTCATGGCCCGTCTACATGAAATTTAAGAGTTAGAAGAAAACTGTACAAGATGTTGAAACTTGTACTTTAATGTGTTCGTTTTGTAATTTTATTTTAACGACAAGGTTGCTGTATTTGTTTGCGAGAAGTTTTGACCCTTTGCTTCCTCAAATTGAGATGCTCATAATTTCTTGCGGAAGTTATTTCAAAACATTCATTTTCTTTCCTTTAGTCATGTTTAGTTTTGTTTTTGAATTGAATAAATCAAAGAAAATTAAGACATAAATAAACAGATGTGTCGGGAAAAAAAAAAAAAAAAAGGTGTCATTTTGCCCATTGTCTAATTACCATCTTTTTGTGTTGATTGTGCGACCGCTAACTAGATATTATATGAGTATCCATCTAGCTAGGATTTTAGCACTCTTTGCCATGTTCATGCTACGAGCCTACGAGGGAGAAGAACAGAGGGAATACAATATCCGGCCGAAGTTTCTATCTAGAGGAACAAAGGCTTCAGCTCTCCGAACTTGACTTCTCTAGTTGGAATTCCTTTATGAGTGTCGTGTGTAATAATATCAATTTCAAAGTAACGGGTTGTATAAAATTGCGTGTGTATGCTAGAAATATCACACATAACAAAGATGACAGACTAGCAATCAGTCTGCAATCTGAATGATTACTTTCTTCTCCGGGCTTTGGCTAACACGTGGCTAAACCAGTGAGCCTCGATACAAGCTCTCAACCCTCAAGCATTAACTGCGACTGCAATGACTCACATGTTTGCAGTGCAAGTTCTCTGAGTGATTACGTTGGAAGTTTGAAAAAAATTTTGGTTAACACGGGAATACAAGTACTATATTATGTATTTTAATAAGAATAATAGAAAATTTTATTTTTTAAGTTATTAACTTTTTAGCATATGTATCTCATTATTTATACAGTGATATGTAGTGTATCACTCTGTGTACCCGTTACATTGAAAAATCTCTTGAAAATTTAGTGTGAATTTGTAGCCGGAGGTTCTCGTTCACTGTGCATTTGCGTTAGTCCACACAAATCAAACGGGATCTTCTCCCGATCCTTTTGATAAAGATTTTAAGAATTCGTAATTTATGTTCATTTATCAAATGATAAATATTGTTTATGTTTAATCTAAATAATAATATTTAAAATAATTTCGGAGACCAAACGTGTAGTCTCACTCTAAAATAATATCTAAATAATTTCCTGTTTGTGTAGTCTCACTCTCTGCACTAAGACCAAACGCGTTGGATCTTTTTTTTGCAGCTTTCCTATATCCTCTCTCTCGGTAAATTTTTTTTTTTTTCTTTTAATTCAATTGCGTAAAAGTTTCTGCTGACTTATGACGACTCAGTTCAATGCTGGTGGATTCTCGTTTTTATTTTCTGAAAAGTGCCAACCAGTTCAAGCAGGTTATGCATGTGAACTTTGAAACATTACGTTATGGAAAAAAAATACTTGACTCCTTACTCTGTTTTTTTTAAAACGTCCTTCATACTTATGCGTTTGAATGTAAATAACAATCTAATACATATGTGAAAAAAATTTCTTTTTATGTTTATGACAAGATATTTTTACATATGTATCAGACAGTTAGGGCCCATGAAGAAACCAAGCAGTATCCTTTGAATATAATATGTCGGTGGAAGTTTTGGAAAATATGATCAAGAAATGAACCGAGTCATTTTACGTAAAAACTATAGAGAAACTACTATGTGGATCTCTATTTCGTAGGAATATATATGATGTTTTAGTCACTTTCAATGGGATCAGAGGCTAGCTAGCTTCCGTTGGAAAATGGAAAAATATTAGGAGCAATAATTATAGATCACCTGGGTTTTGAATCTCATACGTCCTGTGAATTCTTTGGTTAACATAAAATTATATTTTCATATACATCAAATTGTTACTTTTTTGAAAAAAGATCATCTCTGAATCCTTTCCACTATATCCTATCAATCAACAAATCCGAATATTTGAAATTTGATACAACGGTTAAAATTAT